AAATTATTCGTAAAAAATGCTTTTTCCAAATATGCTGAGCCAGCTTCGTACCATTTGAAAAAATTGAGTTATCATTAAAAATGCGATTTGGGCATCTTTTAAGCGGTCATGAAAGGATACGAAAAAAAATTACACGATCAAATATATGTTTCCAAAGTTCTTTGATTACAAATTAATAGTTTTAACTCAGTCTTGGCACTCTAGACTGAAATTTAAAATGCTATTTTCATTTAAATATTAAACTTGACGTATGGTATGTCATTCTATTCAGAATGTCATTTTCTATCAAATAAAGTAAAAAAGTACGTAGGATACAATCTAAAAATACAAAGTTGTAGTCATTTCCGGTGAAACAGGAAGCGACCGAAGGTAATTGAATACGTCAATCAATCCCGATTTATGTCATACACTAACAAACCAAATTTCGTTGTATTAAGTATCTCAAAAAATAAAAAAGTAAAAAAGTGAGCCCTTTTAAAGAAACACACTTAACACCTGGTAGAATCGGCTGAAAATGAATACAGGTCTTAAAAATACACTATAACGAATAATCTTCCAAAAGACCTGTGATCCTCCGTCTTCTAAATATTGATTCTTCAACGACAAAAGTTCTTAAAACTGTTTACCGGTTAATTTATTTAATAAAATGCTTGCACTCGAAAAAACAGCGACTACCTAAACGCATCCTAGATCTATAGAGCAAACTGGTTGTCGCATTCTTCCCCGCACCTCAGTCCTCGGGACCGATACGATGAGTTGTGCCGTCTTTAACGACCTGCTGCTACGAGTATATAGTGTGAATTATATATGTTCGCGAACGTTTTGTTCGAGTAGCTTGGACGCGGCTTTACATACATCCAATGCACGGGCTTCGCATAAGTGTGCGGTATGCTTTATGTCCTACTGGCTGTGGTAATCCCTAAATTTGACATTCACGCTATACAATTTTTTTGACACGCAGTTTTTTTCCTACAAAAATTTTAAATATTTTTTTTTCTCAAAAACGGTTAATGTTGTATAGTGTTTAATATCAAAATTCATAAAATTTTACAGAGAATCTAAGTAAAGTGCCGCCATATTGAAAATATTTTTAATCGCTAGATCTCATTGTGAAACAATCATGTGCAAAAAATCTCCGATCTGGATATTGTTCTCTAGAAACTTCTAATGCACGCTCAGCCTGGGACACCCTGTATCATGTTAAATTCATGCAAACTTCCATCGCATATGTGGGAGTGGTTTTTATTGTCCCAGCAATTTAGTTAACAAAGTCATTTATATCGATATTTTTATAATATTTATATCGATACATTGTATCCATTCCTGCTACAACTGTAAAACCCTATTACTCTAATAATATTAATTAAAGAACATCATTTTTAATTACCAAGCGATAATTGTTATTTTCGATCATACATTAGCTCGTACAAAATTTAATATTCCTCGATTGAAAATAATCTGGCTTTATGCCATAAATCCACGTTCATATAAGTGATGTAATTTAAATTCAAATTATTTTTTATGCCGTTTTTCACTGGTTAATAGAGCTTTTCTGAAGTGTGTTTTGCAGGAATGTTGTTAGTTACCTACGCCGATGCATTCGCAAACATAGAGTTAATATTTAGTACTTTTAAAACGAATTTTATAGTAAAACAAGTTGCTGTTCAAAGTAAATCGATTTTACATAAAATCGTCCACTTAATGTATTTTCGATGGAGTTTGAACGAACACTTGAACAAAATCTACCCAAATTTTTTATATCGAAATTGTTTGATGCTGATATTGAATCTCTACACAAAGGTTTTTAGTTAAAACATGAAATAATATGTTTTGTTTGTTAAGAGCCTATTTATTTATATATAATAGCTCTAAATGGCTCATGGCTTGATTGGTTATCTTTCTCCATTTGTTTCTGTTTTTCGCCTTTATTCTCCACCCATCTACCCTTATCCTTCTCAAGTCCTCTTCTACATCCTTTTTCATCTGATTCTTGGTCTACCCCTCCTTCTCTTTCCACCTATTTCACGTTTCATTATCATACTACGACTTCTTGCTTCAGCCATTCTTTCAATGTGTCCCAGCCATCTCAGTCTTTGTGCTCTTGATACTCCCGTTATACTCGGTGCCCGATATAGTTGCTTTAATTGTTCATTTGTTCTTCTGGTCCATATATTGTCTATCTTCTCTCCTCCAAAAATCTTTCTCAGTATTTTTCTTTCCCAAATCTGAAGCCGTGAACTTTTCGTTGCATTGAACGTCCAAGTTTCACATGCATACGGCACTATTGGTCTTATCATTGTTTGGTACATTTTGATTTTCTGTAATGCGCTGACATATCTATTTCCTGCTATTATTCTTGAGTTACATTTGGATTCCTTAGAAATACGGCTCCTAGATATGTGAATGTATCTACTTCCTTAAAATTGTTTCGTTTACCCGTTTACCTCTCTCAGAATTCAATTGTAAACTAGGGAATGCAATCCCGCAAATGCTGGATCCCGCAAATGCGGGATCCCTATGTGATTCCGCGGGATCGAATTTGCGGGATTTACCGTGCGAGATCTGCGGGATCGACACCAGGGGATACCCCTTACGGCTTGGCCATTAAAAATAAGTGAAACAAACAGGTTAGTTGTTAGATTTCTTTCTGGCGTGCGTAAGTGAAGAAAAGCGTTTAACTAGTACCGTATGTCGAATAAAAACGGCGTCAGCGATGGCTATGAAATGAAGATCGCTGTCATTTTGTAGGTAAAATTAAATGGGGAATGTCATTGATGTTCATTTCCAAGCCAACTGGACTCCGTTTTTTTTTTCGATTATACGGTACTTTACCGGACATAATTATCGGGACAAGCAAAATTTTAGGGTAAAATTAAAGTTGAATATCTCTTGAACTAAAAAAGATTTTGGGATGCGGTTTGGACCAGGTTTTAGATGCATCTATTATGATTAAGATACTATGTGGTTTTCGAAAATATATTTAGCGAATTCTCGTATACAGGGTGTTTTATAAGAGTGTGAAAATTTGGTTAAGAATCTTTTTTACCGCAAATTTACAATTTTTAAAAAAATCGAAATTTTTACCAAGTACGACTAATCTGTATTGAAATTAGAAAAAACAATTTGATCGGGTTTTTATTTTTTTTGTTTTAAGGAAAATACGATGTTTTTTTCGAAAAATATGCATTTTTAGTCATACGATGGTCCTAAATGGTACAAAAAGCTTTGTACATTCTGCATATGCCAAAAAATTATTAATATAGAGTGTATCTAAAAGCAGATAACTAACACAAGTTGAAAAAATCTTCAACATCAGAATAATATTTTGATTTATAAAATAAGTAGATAAATTATAATAAAATTTAGGTTTATTTAATATTAAATATATTTTATAATATATAATATTAATTATATTTTAATATATCTGAATTGAACACCCTGTATACATCGGTCCAAATTTCTTTACAGCTATAAGATACACGCTATATCAGTATATTGTGGGCCTATGCAAAATGTATAATGCCTTTTGTACCATTTAGGACCAAATGTATTATTTAGGACTATAAATGCATATCTTTCGAAAAAAAAACTCGTATTTATCTTAAAACAAAAAATTTAAAAAAACACCAAATTGTTTTTTCTAATTTCAATACAGATTAGTCGTACATAGTTAAAATTTCGATTTTTCAAAAATTGTAAATTTTCGCTAAAAAAAATGCTTGACCAAATTTGTACACTATTATAAAACACCCTGTGTACGAGAATTCGCTAAATATATTTTCGAAAACCACATAGCATCTTAATCACAATAGATGCGTCTAAAACCTGGTCCAAACCGCATCCCAAAATCAAAGAGAGAAAAGAAGAGCATTTATTGTTTACAATCCCGCAATTTCGCGGATCCGCGGGATTGGTTGCTTTAATCCCGCGGGTTTGCGGGATTGAGATTTTGGTGCGGGATTGCATTCCCTATTGTAAACATCTCTTCTCAAAATCCCTATCTGACCAATCCATAAATTTCGTTTTCTTCTCATTAAACACTAAGCCTACTTTTTGCGCTTGATTTTCTAGTCTTTTGGTCACCGATATCAGCTCTTTCCGATCTCTTGCTAAGATAACTAAATCATCGGTAAAGGCTAAGCATTGGTGTCTTTTTGTATACAGAAGGCCCTCTCTGTTGATTCCCGCATCTTTTATAATTTTTTCTAATACTACACTAAACAGTACTGGAGATAGTGGATCTCCCCCCGTCTTTCATTATAAATTTTTCCGTTGTTTTCTTGTTTACTTTGACTTCATTTATTGTCTCTTGGAGTGTCAATTTTATCATCTTGATCAGTTTCTTGCTAACCCCTAATTCTGTTAATGCTCTAAACACCTCCGTTCTTTTAACTTTGTCATATACCTGCTGAAAGTCGATAAATAGGAGCATTGTCTGCTTTCCGTATTCATTATTTATTTATTAAACTCAATAATACATAAAACATCTTTTTGGGCTGATTAATTTTGAAATTTTCTATATTTTGGTCACTGACTGTTCATCAACTGTGAACTAATCTAAATCCTAAAACTACTTCTGTTATACCGTGCTGGCAACTCATACTTTTGGGTCGGTATTTACATGTGAGGAAGTAAATCGCATAGGGTTTTATTAAGTCGGAGTGAGAGAAATGCGACGGTGTGCTGTTGCGGCGTTGCCACATTTCTCCGGTACACCTTTCCCCATCAAGTAAAGTAAAATCACGATCGCAAACGGCTTATTTAAGACTTTTTTTTGAAAAGATAACTAGATAAAAGCATTAGATATGTTTCTGAGCATCTAAAATGGAATTAAGTATAAGGATATCGCGTTAGGATGTCCATTTTTATAACGAGAAAACGTCAGTAATCGCGATAATTTAACAACTCAACTTTTAAACACATAACACGCGATAACTCAAGAACCACTTTAGATATTGAAGCTGTTGTTTAAATAGCTACATGATTGTTTTTATTTTCAGGTGCCTTAGACGAACCGAACGGTAGTCCTGTATCCGATTCTTCAAGATCCAGTGAACAACTTGGTCCCAAGCAGCGACATCAAATGAAACACCGAGAACTGTTCCTTTCTAGACAGGCAAGTAGCGCATTCTTTAACTTTTTCGTTAATAACATTTCCGAACATATTATGTTATATAGCAATGTTATTTGTTCTCCTAATAATCTGGCGATATAGAGGATAAAAAGTTGCGGTTTGCGCTAACTTTTTGGATATTTTGTGCTGTACTTAACTATGCAAACGGGTTATTGTCACACAGGCATCACCTAGCTACTGCGGCAAAATCTACTGAGACAAATTATAGATTATATTTTAGATTATTTAAGGAAGAGTTGTTATTCTAAGCGAGCTCCAGTTTCTTTAATTGCTTTAAGCTAAACCAGAGTTATCTTTATTATTAAAAAAATGAAAGTTTAACCTTCCCCGCCACTTTATTTTATGAGAAAGAACAAAATAACGCAATACTGCAAATAAATACATATTCATTAGGTAATTTCCAAACATCAGAATAAAAAATCATGTATTTTGAAAGTCAGTCAGTGATGGGCGATGCTTTGACCATGGTTAGTGGACAATGGTCCGTTAAAATTCTTTATTTAAGGCAGCTGTTATAGGGCAGTGTTATAACGACTCCCCTACATTAGAAAAATGGCAAAACTTGGTAAAAGGTTCCAAAAAGGTAATTCTCTTTTCTTAAGAGTCCATTTCACTAGTCCGGAAAAGTATCAAAATAAGCGTTCGGCATTTAACGTTTTACGTAAAACTGGCTAGGTATTTTTCCACAAATGAGGAAGGAAATTAAAGATAAAAGATTATAATATATCCGTATTGTAGCACATTTTTAGACAACTTCTTTATTTTTAAGATTTTGATGGCCAACCATCAACAAAATATTCCTTATGTTTGAACTAAATTTTCTCGAAAATAAAGACATAATTTAAAAGTCCGTTACAATACGGAAATAGATTGAAGTGTTGTGATTACAGTGATATATAATTTATATGGTTTTGTAACAAATTGCTCGCTATTTTATGGCAAATCCTGAAGCTCTGCAAACCTTAATCAAAGCACGTGTGTTTGGAATTTTGGCTGTGGCTTAACACGACAGGATCGGGCTAAGCCTTAGGCAAATTTCTGAAATATAATATACATTTCCTTCGGCCACACACCCGCTTTACCCGATCCGTGAGAGCGATCCGAAAGTACAGCGTAATAGACTCTTAAGGAAATCTACATAGTAAAAAAGATATTTTTTTAAAACACAACTGCGTTAAAGGGAAAATTTCACGGTAAAAAATATATTTTACTGTCTATTGAGAGATTTACTGTCTACGATGAGATTTTTACAAATTGCAAGTTTGGGGTTCGTTGAAGGACTATTAGAGCTACAATTTAAAAATATTTTTACAAGATACAGAGTGTCGCAAATAAATAAAAAATATTGTTCCTCGATGATTATATAACGTAAAATAAACAATTCTGCGCTCCACAGACAGTTGCAAAAACTAACATTTAATTAAAAATCTGAATATTGTGAAACTTTTTTCCTGGCCTGGAGCCGTCCAGTTTATTTTATCATCATTTTAAAAATTTCATGTACATGCTTGTTTCATTTTATTATTTGTTTTGAGAAATTGCATTAGCGTACAAAATATTTATGCAACTTTTATTAATAGATGTTTTATAAAATAAATGGTGTTGTGAAACTGAAGAACAGTTAGTTATCAGGTTGTATTATTTCCCAGGTTGTAGCATATTTTATCTATTTATTTCTGTAAATGTCAAATTTTACAGATAGGAGGGCTTTCTTCATGTTTTCTTTTATATTTTGTATATAGAAACATAGCAGGCGCCTGTCAACATATCAATCAATTGTCAAAATTAACTGTCATCTTTAATTAAGGCTGTATTCCGTTGCAAAACCAGGCGAACAAGACCGGTAAACTACGGTAAAGAGCAGTTTCTGAAAAACATCAGTTTGATACGGAACGGTTTGGTAAAATACTGGACTGCAAATTTCAATACCTCTATTATAAAATGTATCTTTTATGCATTTTTAATGTACCTGTTCTCTGCTTTTACGTTTGCTTCTTTTTTTCAATGGAGTTTAATACTGAAAAGTACTTTACTAATAAAATGTTAAGCTCGTTAGACAGCTCAAGTGAAGCAAATCTAATCAATATTTATATTTTTATAGCTTACAAAAGATTCACGATTACTTGTCTTGTTGTTCATGTTTTCTTTAAATGTTCCTGACTTTAAGAAACAATTGCTGCTTGATAAGTTTAAATGGTCCTAAAAAGTAATTCTATTTAGTTAATGAAATTTATTTACCTTTACTGCCTACCTCCATTGCGTTTGGATGTAAATACAAAATTAATATTATTACAAATTTTAGAAATTAAATGAGAATTTTACTTGAACTTCCAATATTTGCTTGATTTCTGTCACATAAATGACATTGATTGACAAACAAAACCAGAAAAACTAGCCTTCTCGCGCTGGTTAGTTTGGTGACAGTTATAACCGAATTTTTCAGGAACCGTGTTCCGTAATAAAAAAACTTTCAGGAATACTTTCAGGAAACCGATAGAAACGGAACATAAAACCATAACCAAGCGGTAAGCAACGGAATACACCCTAACTCAACGCCAGAGTTTTAGAACGCTTTGTTTAAAGCTATACCTAAATTAAGCCGAGAAATTTTTCGCGCAATATTTTTTTACAATTTTCTAACGACAGTTGCCTCAAAAAGAATGCCTTGCCGAGTTGGTTTGTGTTTGGGTGTTCCAAGATGAACCAAAACCGACGAAAGTTATTTGTCCTCGAAGTATTTCCAAAAAGATGGTGTCGACATTTATCTCAAAAGCCGGTTATGTAGCAACGATTCCTCTGTAAGATCAAATAACTGTTACTGCTGATTGGTACATATCTATTTCTTTGCGGAAGTAATTGTTGAGTTTTGAAAAACCAAGCCTTAACGACAAAAAATGATTCTCCACCAAGACAATGCAAATTCCTGTACAGCTCGAAAAACAATTAAGTTTTTAAAGCAAGAAAACATGAGTTTTTGGACCATTCTCCATACAGTCCAACGACTTTTTTACTTTTCCAAAAATTAAAAATGAAGTGCGTGGTCAAGGATTCCAGTCCCCAGGAGATACAGTCAGCGCCTCCAAAAACGCAATTTTGAGGGTACCAACAAGCGAGTGAAATAACTGCTTTCAGAATTGGTTGCAAGGGATACAAAAATGCATTTATCTTAGTGGAAGATACTTCGAAAAACAATAGTGGGGGTTTCAAATTCATCTACTGTTTTATTTTATCTCTATATGGGCGAAATATAAAAGACAAAGGTATAGCTGTATCCACGAAGTTTATAAGATCTAAGATTTTTATATTATCCCAGATATTATCTGTTGATAAGAGAATGGAAATTTTTTGTACATTTTGTGAATTTGGTCTATCTATCTTTTTATTTTGATTAATGTGTTATTCGGGATACTAAAATGTTTTTACTAATAATTGATCAAAAAAGGATAATGTTTCTGTTGAACAAAAGATTGTTTAAATAACATCGTAATGTTGTTTATGCAATATTGTTCAATACCTCATATCAGTAATGAATTGAAGATAAGTATAACGAATGCAATTTTCCTTATTTCTTTTTTAAATTTTAAATGCTAAGTACTTACTATAAATGGTATACATTGCTACACATTTCGTATACCTATTTTCATAATCACAGAATGAATGAATCAATCATTCAATTGTTCATAGTTCATTCTATAAACGTGAACCTGATTTTAAGTAGCTTAATTTGCACTAACTTGTTTTTTTTTAAATATTTATTGTTAGTTTACATGCACTTTATTTTTGTTATATTTTTTATTTTTCAATTAGTTATAATTTATTTTTTGGGGTACTTTACTTTTCCAAAACCAGAAATCAGGTAAATTAATTATAGAATTTTAATTCGATTTATATAAAATTTGTATTTTATATTTTAGATATTTAATTAACATTTTACATTAATTTGATATAAAATGTTGATTAAATATTATACATATGTGATACAAATTGGCCATCAGAATTAAAATTCTGTTACAACTAGTTTTTGTATCCTTAAATTGAAGTTCAATGATTTTATACGTAACGGTATTATGGAACAAAGAACCAACGGAGCTGCTAATATATTATTTGTTTTTATTGGCAAAGAGAATGTTGTGTGATCTTGAAATATATTGTCATTGTACAAAAAGAAATAAAATTATTATTGATTTTTTTGCTTTGGGTTTATACAGTATGTGTCATAAATGACAATTTGATATTATTGAGTTATTGAAATGTTCATGTTGTATCAATTCAGCTTGATCAATAATCAAAAATCACTTTGACATATGTCATGTGACAACTGTCATGGCTTAAATTTATAAAATATTTTACATTGATATGCTAATCTGGAAATATACGGCGACAATGGGCTCTTTCACTATATTTTAGAATTAGCATAATTGACTAAAGCAACTAATTCTAGAATTTTCAGCTATCTCACTTTCGAAAAATTTGAAGTCGTTCTTAAGAAAATAAATAAAAACAAAAAAGCCCAGAATAAAAATCCGCACTTTATTTTCAATACGTCACACCTGGCATGTTGAAAAGCGGCAACACGGCCGCGGCCGAGCCAACATGCTGACCCACCACCACCTCCACACAAGGCTATTCAACCTTTTCCAATATGGCGGAGATAGAAGTGCTTTATTTGGCGCGTATTTTAAAACCTGTTTTATTCACAATTAGACATTTTTCATTTGTCGGGTTAGATTACGTAATATTTCACTAATTTTTTAATATACAGGGAGTCTAATGTTCTCCACATAAGTATGGATTTTTTTATATTATTACTTTTATGAAAACATCAGTTAGTTACTTTTTATAAAAAGGTCTGCTTTCTCAGAAAATAGGTAGTGTTAAAATATTCAAGCTTGAGGTAGCATATATAGGGTGTTCAAAATCATCGGAAAAAGAAATAACCAGAAATATATGACAGAAAATAGCAATATAAACTAAAGATTCAA